CCTCTCATCCAAGAGACTTCTTCAGTTCTAAAAATAAAAGAGTCCCAGATATTTTACTCTTAGTGGTTGGTTGTCCCCTCCCAGGTGGTCCTGAGGGTCATCAACCCACTATTGATCATGTGAGTCATCACATGAGCAAAGGTGTATTTAAAAAAAAAAGTATGGGTCATTACCAACACTGGGGGTTAATGGTGAAACCACCTTGTAACCTTTCCCCACTGCATCATGTGACTTATTGGGATCACATGAGGCCAGGTGTGAGTGGGGATTGAAGCACTCGGGAAGGGATCTCATGACGGCATTGCAGGTGGTTGATAGGTGGTGTTGTAAGCCACCACCTCTGTTCAGTGATGGTCGTTCACAGGGGACTTAGATGCTCTTGGTCCACAATGTGAACACTGGTATCATCAAGAGAGTGTTCCAGTGCAGATGCATAGCCGAGTCTTGTCCTGTAAAGGTGGGTCTTCTGTGTTGTGTTGGGTTTATGGAGTGCATGTTTGGTTTCTCCTTTGTGGAGGTCCAAGCATTTGTCACTGCAGAGCATACTCTATTCTGTTTAGCTTGTGTTTTAGAGTTTTGTCCCATGGATGAATCAATTTTGTCTGAGGGTCTTGCTGGGTCTGCTGGTGTCTGACCTTCTTTCGTGTACATATTTGCTGATTTAATGGAGGCCCAGTTGGGATAACCACGTTTTATTAAGAGCTTTCTTTAAGCGTGTGTTCCTTTTCTTTCCCTTTTTCCTTAGAGGAAATATTTTCTGCCTGGTGTTGTAGGCTCCTTATCACCTCAACGTTGTGTTTCACAGGGTGGTGGGAGTCAAAGAGTAGGTACTAGTCTGTGTGTGTGTGTGTGTGTGTGTGTGTGTGAGCTTCCAGTAAACTTCAGTGTTGAGGCTTCCAACCCAACAACACAGTCAAGGATCCTGCTGTCCTCCCTGGTGAACATTTGATTTAAGCCACTTGAGTGAATTTGTTTGGTGGAGGCCACTACTTCCTGGGTTTTAATTGCGACCCATGTGTCAGCCGCATATCTGTACCCGAGGACAGGTGCTGTCCATTTGAAGGAACCGAGAGTCTCACTCTCCACTCCCTCCATGTAAAGATTGGCTACAATGGGAGAAACTGATGAGCTCATGGCACGTCCATGGTTTTATCTTTAGAAGCCCTCATTGCATTTGAGATATGTTAATATGAAATTATTCTTAATCATAGAAATATGCTTTAGACACTAATCGTTAGCGCATTAGCCAGCTTGGCTAATGCATTTAATGTGAAGTGGTTAGAGCATCATGTGAAGTGTCATTCAAATTCTTTCTTAGGTACAACTATTAATCCCACGCTGCAAAAAAATACTGTAAAAAAGTCCTGCTTTTTATTTAATTAGTTATTAGTATGTAGTCTGTGTTCTCCTCATATGATCCCTATGAGCTAAAAGCATGACTTCAGACTAAGTGCTGTTTCTGACAGTTTCTTCTCTCTTTTTAAAAAAAAAAATGTATTGAATTGTGATGTCAGTACTCACAAGCTTTCTGTTTACGAGGGGCAGCCAATCTTGGCCTTAAAGGGAGAGGCTTAAAAACTGGTTGTTTCAGGTAGTGGATGAATTATAGTGTGGATTATTTTGAACTGTGAATCATGAAGAAAAATAGGGAGCTGGAAAAGAGTATAAAGTTTAGGGTAAAAGAGAGGTAGTATCAGGTACTTGTTTTTATTCTGATATAGATTTTCTTCTATATTGCTGGATAGTTTTTGATGAAAAATCAAATTGTGATGTCATTTTTCTGTTTTTACGGGGCAGACAAGAGTAGTGTTAAAGTGCTGCATAAATAAGCAGTACTGGAAAGTGTTGTAGTACTATTATACTCGTGGTGATACCCATACTGAGCTACTAAGTCCCAAAGTGGGTGGTGTGTTGCTCCCAGCGGGAAGCTCTTTGTATCCTTTTGTAAAGATACGATTTAAATTTACCTCACCAATGTGATACCTTGAGACTTTTAGTCAATCAACCCAGCTCTTTACTCAGTTTGTAAATATTGCCACAATATTAGTGCTCTTTTTTAGCTACTTGTTGTCACTGTTCCTGTTCTCTTTATCAAAAGTCTTCATTGATTATCTTGCGGAAGTTGTTAATTGTCATTTTTGTGGATAATTGAAAGCACTGTCACAAATAAAACTGTAATTCTGAGCAGGTTTTATGCGGATCATATGATTTATGCACACAAGGCTGTCCATCCATTCATCCCTTTGTCCATCCATACAGAGCACTGTGTTCAGAGATGATTTTATTTTGTGCCCATTAAGTCCACCTGGCAGCCCGTGCCTTTTGAAAAAAGCCTGTTCATGGTTTATTTGTTTTAATCACTACAGAATTATTTTTGGGTGCAACACATGCCACATGTATAAAAGAATACAGTCACTTGTATTATGCTTTTTCATATTTGATATAAACATTTACTAGACAAAGAATCTGACATGGTGACTGGCCTGAAATTTATAAATTATATAGACACTGATAATGTAATGCTTGGTTTGAGACAGAACAATGACAAGCTTCTGCACCTTCCACTACTATAAGTGGACTACAAGCAGACACTCAGTCCTTGCTTGCATAGCCTGGAAATGGGGAAGCAAAACCGCTGAATGAGAATTTCTGCAATAGTTTCAACCTTCGCCAACTCATTGCTGTCTCGCTCTGAAACGCTCTCTCAAAAGCTTTATCGAGCACCTCTCTCGAGGGTCCTGCATCTTTAATGACTGCGGCGAACGGAATAGATTCGAAGATGAGACCTTTCGATAAAAAGTTTCTCCTTACAAAAAAGTTTTATACGAAGGAATGCAGTGTGTTCGGTAAACATATATGTAAGGCTTTTTCCCTCCTTTTGCTGCACTGGAAAGTGGAGCCCCTCTCACGAGGGCCCTAGCTTTAAGAGTGAGCTCCCAGCAATAAGGTCAAAAGCCAAGACTATTAATTTTGCAGTGCTCTTCATTTCTGTAAACAAGTTGATATGTACTGAGTAAAGTTTAGTTACTTTAACGTTAACTCGAGTAAACCATAAATCAAAGAAGAAGCCTAAAAAGAAGCCAATCTGGGATCGCCATGGGGAATAATGCGCCTAATGACAGCTGTAAGTCTGGCCTCGTCTCTAGATTAAGCGGCAGCAGTACAATAATAACATTAAGGGACGCATGTTGCATAAATATATTTCTGCTCATTCTGTAAGTCACTTAAGCAAAATATAATATGTTCACGTGAAAGCTCTTCCTTGGAGATTAGCCCTCAACTGCAACCCGAAAACCTTTCAAAAAGTGTCACACATACACGTGTATCGAATGGAAGGAAGCATGCTCCCACATTACATGAGGTGAACTAATGGTCTAATGAGTCACATACTGTACATCCCATGCAACAATACTAAATGAATTTAGAGTGACGGTTTCTCTTTTCATAACCACCTAAAGATGAAAAAGGTAAGAGATTTTTTTTTTGACACATAATATAT